CACGTTGGCCAGGCCTGGTCTTGAACTCCTGACCCCAAAGTGATTGCCCACTAGGGCCTCCCAAAGTGCTGGGAATTACAGGTGTTGAACCACCACACCCAGCCGTGAAGTTTTTTTTTTTTTATAACCAAATAATTATTATAAAAATAGATATTAGTAACGACTAATGTAGATAGAGTACTTATTATATGCTAATAATTTTAACAGAGATTAATTAGTTAAGCTTAAAGTAATCCTATGAGATACTGCTATTTATGATCCCCATGTTACAGAAGGAGATACTAAGATTTAAGGGGATAAACACGCTTGCATTGAGGACACGGCATGATTAAGAAATGGTTGCCTCTAGAATCCGGTTCTAGAGAGTTCTTCAAAGAGTACCCCAATTGGTAGAGTCTTGATCTCTCAAACCCAGAGGATGGTACACTTAGATGATTTCTCCCAGAACAGACTGGGAACTGAATGGCCTGAAGGAGGAACTGAAATTCACAAGAGAAAGAGGCCCCTTGGGGTGCCTGAGCCAAGGCCAACACAAGGCAGCTAACCAGCGAAATATAGAGAGGACAGACGTGGAGAAGCCCAGTGCCCAAGCCCCTAGGTTTGTTTTTCTTTCTTTTTTTTTTTCTTTTTCTTTTTCTTTTCTTTTTTTTTTTTTTTTTTTGGAGCAGAGTCTTGCTCTGTTGCCCAGGCTGGAGTGGCAGTGGCGGCTATCTCTGCTCACTGAACCTCCATCCCTCCAGGGCTGGCTCAAGCAATCCTCTCACCTCAGCCTCCTGAGTAGCTGGGACTACAGTTGCCCACCACCACACCTGCCTAATTTTTGTACTTTTAGTAGAGATGGGGTTTTGCCATGTTGCTCAGGCTTGTCTTGAACTCCTGAGCTCAAGCTATCTACTCACCTAGGCCTCCCAAAGTGCTGAGGTTACAGGCATGAGCCACCATGCCTGGCCCCTGCCAAGGTTTTCTTTTCTTTCTTTAAATGTTTATTTCTTGTACCCCTGAGGATTTCTGATGAGCCCTTGAGAGAATAGGAGATCCTACTGACTGGAGAATCAACTGGAGGGCAGAGATGTTTTACTCATGGCTCTGACCAGCCCTGGCTCCCACCAGACATTGCAGGACTGGCTTCTAGAGCTTTCGATGCAGAGGAGGAGAGACCTCTATGGATGGGACAGAGCCAAGGTCTTAGCTTTGGTCTCTTCTCATCACTCATACTTTAAATATAAGCTCTAATGTCATCAAGCCACCAGAGATAAAATGCCTTTCTCAAGCTAAGCAGACAGGATCTGGTATCCAATTTGGACAAGATAGTGGAAAACAGACTCAGGGGGAAAAAATCTCTTGGCCTCAGCACCAGCACACGGGAGTTGAATCTGACACCTTAACATTGTACAATAAACAAATGTAGGCATGGTTTCCTATGTTTTCTTCAAAACATCTAGAATAGATCTGATTAGAGGGAATGATTTTAACAATTAATTCTTCTCTCCTCAGCTGAAAAATTCTGGATTATCCTCCAAGATGTAACTAAACCATCAGCTTCTGTGGAAATACTTCCCCAGCTTCCCCAAGCAACAAGGCCATCCCTCTTCTGTGCATATTTAATAAATAATTTGTTTGCCTGTTGGACTATGTGTCTCCCCTCAGCACAAGCTCGGTGAACTGTGTAGTATGCAACTTCAGGCTTCCCCTCCTTTCCCAGCACCCCTCTCTACCACCTCTCCACCACCTCTCCCTCACATGCATTCCTATGCCTGCCGTGGGGTAATTGCTAATTAAATGTTGATTGCTGAAATAGAGAGCTATGGAGGTTCAGGAATGGTCTTCTAGATTTCCCAGAGCTGGGACTCAAACCCCTTTTTGGATCTCTGATGCCTGAGATAATCTGATGAAAGTTAAGAACTTTTCCCCAGAAAAAAAAGCACAGGCAAAAGAAAATTCCCAATTGTACAGACTAAATAGCCATACTAACACATATACAATTATGTGCATGTAAAACTGGGGAAATCTGGATAAGATAGGTGAATTGAATCAATATCAGTTTCCAAGTTGCGATATGGTACTATAATACCGCAAGATGTTACCACTGAGAAACTGGGATCTCCCTGTATTATTTCTTATAAATGTATGTGAATCTAAAATTTGTAAGGCCGGGCGTGGTGGCTCACACCTATAATCTCAGTACTCTGGGAGGCCGAGGTGGGCAGATCACCAGAGGTCAGGAGTTCAAGACCAGCCTGGACAAGATGGTGAAACCCTGTCTCTACTAAAAATATAAAAATTAACTGGGCGTGGTGGTGTGCACCTGTAATCCCAGCTACTCGGGAGGCTGAGGTGGAGGAATCGCTTGAACCCAGGAGACAGAGGTTGCAGTGAGCCGAGATTGCACAACTGCACTCCAGCCTGGGTGACAACAGCAAAACTCTGTCTCAAATAGATAAATAAATAAATATAATCTCAGCCGCGCCCAGTGGCTCACACCTGTAATCCCAGCACTTTGGGAGGCCAAGGCAGGTGGATCACCTGAGGTCAGGAGTTCGAGACCAGCCTGGCTAACATAGTGGAAACCCTGTCTCTACTAAAAATAAAAAAATTAGCAGGGTGTGATGTTGGGTGCCTGTAATCCCAGCTACTTGGGAGGCTGAGGTGGGAGAATAGCTTCAACCTGCGAGGCGGAGGTTGCAGTGAGCCGAGATCACGCCACTGCATTCCAGCCTGGGCAACAAGAGCGAGATTCTGTCTCAAAAATAAGTAAGTAAATAATTAATTAATTAATTAATTAATCTCAATAAGAATTTCAATTAAAAAACACAAAATTCCCATACCTTATTTTTTGAGAGTTGATGGACCCCCCGCGCTGAACCTACCCATGAATCCTAAATTGAGAACTCTCTAATATAGTCCAATTTTTGCATTGTTGGGTGGGGAAACTGATGGGAGAGGATGTGTTCAAAGTCATTCAGATTGATTGTGACGAGGCAGGATGAACCCAGCTCTCCTTATTCTACAACTGGTTGCTAAAAGGAAGAGAATGTTGTCCACATTGTGTTGTTTACTTGATTTAAAAACGCAAGACAGGTCGGGCGCGGTGTCTCATGCCTGTAATCCCAGCACTTTGGGAGGCTGAGGTGGGTGGATCACGAGGTCAGGAGATCAAGACCATCCTGGCTAACACGGTGAAACCCCTTCTCTACTAAAAATACAAAAATAAATTAGCCGGACGTGGTGGCGGGCGCCTGTAGTCCCAGCTACTCGGGAGGCCGAGGCAGGAGAATGGTGTGAACCTGGGAGGCAGAGCTTGCAGTGAGCCGAGATCACGCCACTGCACTCCAGCCTGGGAGACACAGCGAGACTCCCTCTCATGGAAAAAAAAAAAAAAAAAAGGCAAGACAAACCAATGTAACAGGGCAACTGAGATTCCCTGATGTGCACAGAGAACACTGAGTCTAGATAAGGCAATTTATTATTATTATTATTATTGTTATTTTTTTTTTTAAATGAAATCTCACTCTGTTGTTCAAGCTGGAGTGCAGCGGCACAATCTCGGCCCACTGCAACCTCCACCTCCAAGATTCAAGCAATTCTCCTGCCTCAGCCTCCCAAGTAGCTGGGACTACAGGCATGCACAACCATGCCCAGCTAATTTTTTTGTATATTTAGTGGAGATGGGGGTTTCACTATGTTGGCCAAGCTGGTCTTGAACTCCTGACTTTGTGATCTACCCGCCTTGGCCTCCCAAAGTGCTGGGATTACAGACAAGAGCCACCGCGCCCACTAGCAGTTTGTTTTTAGGATATTTTTTTTTCATTGCTTCCTAGACTGTCTGTGCTCAGCCTGTGGTGGACTGTGGATGATCTCATTCACAAACAGGTGGCTTGGAAAGGTGTAGGTCAGGGACCAGCAGCCTTTTTGATTCTGAGTACCAAAAGAGGAACCAAATAGTGCCTATGAGTTATCTCAGCAGACTGGACATGTTGGGGAATAGGAGGGAAAGAAGGAGAGGAAAAAGAAAGCGGGTACATCAGGAGAAAAGAGGGCAAACGAGGATGGTATGGAGAGAAGAGAGTGGAAGAGAGAACAAGTGTATTTAGGGAGTAGAGGGCTTATGTGGTGGGGCTGGGCCACAGGCTGCTCACCAAGTCAGAACCTGTAAGAACATGAGTTATCTGCTCTGTCCTTGGAGATTGCTAGGTATTGGAATTGTCAGGTGGTCAAAGGTCAAGATCTTTCTTTAATGAAAATCACTGTGATCTGATGCTAAAGCCTCTCCGGTAGTTAAGAGTTTGGTACTTCTCCTGAGCTAAAGCCAGACTGAGTTTGTATCCCAGCTCCTTTGTTTACTATTTTACCTTAGACAAGTTACTTAATCCCTCTGTGCCTCAGTTCCATCATCTGTAAAAGGAGGATAATAATAGTACCTACCTCATAAGTTGTGAAGTGTAAATGTATTAATACGTGGAAAACATGACCTGGCGGGGTGGCTCACGCCTGTAATCCCAGCACTGTGAGAGGCCGAGGTGGGCGGATCACTTGAGATCAGGAGTTCGAGACCAGCCTGGCCAAGATGGTGAAATCCTGTCTCTACTAAAAATACAAAAATTAGCCAGGCATGGTGGTGCACTCCTGCAATCCCAGCTACTCAGGAGGCTGAGGCACGAGAATCATTTGAACCCGGGAGGCAGAGGTTGCAGTGAGCTGAGATCACACCACTGCACTCTAGCCTGGGCAATAAGAGCGAGACTCTGTCTCAAAAAAAAAAAAAAAAAAAGGAAGAATACATGGAAAACACTTAGAAGAGTTTTGACATGTAGTAAGCGCTTAATAAATGCTGGCCCTTATTATTGTTACCCCTTGACAGAGGCTCATTTCCTCTTGCCTGTTCCTGCAAAGACGGAGACAACTGATTAGCCATCCTTCCTCTAAGAACTAACCATCAACTTATAGACGCTAAATCATCCATCAGTTTCTCTTTCTGAATATACTATCTGTTCCTTCTTTTGTCTGGGGACCCAACTCCATTACTATCTTCCAGAATCACAATTTAAACATGAGCATAGAAGTGCTTAGTAATGGAGGGGTCTTCCTGTTTGGTGTTCCCTCTATTGGCCAGAGAACAAACACTCCTATGAGAGGAGAGTTTCTTTTCTTTCCATCAGACAGGAGAGCAGTATGGACCTATGTTTCTATCTTTGCAAATGAATTTCATAGCACCAATTAGATACCTCTGTGCTTGGAAATTCACCTGCTTTGGTGAATCTAATTTTAAATTTTGTCAGGAATCAAGGTAGAACACTGGTAAACTGCTTAATCTGGAAAATAAAGAACAAAATATAAACAGATTTCCCCTCTGGCTCCCTGCAAAGCATCTCTCTCCTCCACAGTGTTTCTGTAAGTCTCTAGGGAACAACTCACCAACAAGTCCTCCTCACCAACAAGTCCTCCTCCATTCACACCCCTCTGCCCTGATACCAGGTGTCTGTGCTGTCCCACCAGTCTCTAAAAGTCTCCTGCTAATCTACTAAGTACTCTTGACCAAGAGAGACGTAGAGTCACCACCAGAGAAGACTTTTCAGAGTTTTCTCTGAAAAGTGGGGCCTGAACTGACCTTAAATGACAGGTAAGGTTCATATAGATACCGGGGGGAATCCAGGGATCCAGGGCAGGATGAGCAAAGGGTGAAAGAAGGAATGGAGTTGGATGAGTACAGAATTGGTTTGGGGAGGTGGCCAGCTAAGCTGAGGAGGAGAGCTTATAGTGAGGGAGAAGGCAGGAGAGGAGGCCATGTGAGAAGGCCATAGGAGAGCTCAGACTTCTTTCCATAAGAAAGTGAGGGCCCTGGAGTAACACTGCAGGGTATAGTGGAATACTTGGCAGAACTATTGGCTATATTGGCTACATGTTGTTTGGTTCTTTGGGCCTGTGATTCTCCCAAGAGATGCCTTGTCATGTTTATTCACGTATCTAACATTTTCTTTTTCTTTTTTTTTTTTCTCTTTTGAGACGGAGTTCTCTGACCGCCAGGCCTGGAGATGCAGTGCGGGATCTCAGCTCACTGCAAGCTCCGCCTCCCGGGTTCACGCCATTCTCCGTGCCCTCAAAGCCTCCCTCCGAGTATATTGGGACTACAGGCGCCGCCACCACGCCCCGGCTAGTTTTTTGTATTTTTTAAGTAGAGGCGGGGTTCGCACCGTGTTAGCGCCACGGATGATCTCGATCTCCTGACCGCTCGCGATCCGCCCGTCTCGGCCTCCCAAAGTGCTGGGATTACAGGCTTGAGCCACCGCGCCCGGCCTAACATTTTCTTTTTTTCTTTTTTTCTGAGCTGCAGTCTCGCTCTGTCATCCAGGCTGGAGTGCAGTGGTGTAATCTCGGCTCACTGCAACCTCTGCCTCCTGAATCCAAGCGAGTCTCCTGCCTCAGCCTCCTGAGTAGTTGGGATTACAGGCATGTGCCACCACGCCCGACTAATTTTTGTATTTTTAGGGCAGACGGGGGTTTCACCATATTGGTCAGGCTAGTCTTGAACTCCTGACCTCGTGATCTGCCTGCCTTGGCCTCCCAACATGCTGGTATTTTTCTTTGTTTCTTTTTTCTTTTTTTTTTTAGTCAGAGTCTCACTCTGTCAAAAGGCTGGCTGGAGTGCAATGGCACGATCTTGGCTCACTGCAACCTCCGCATCCCGGGGTCAAGTGATTTTCCTGCCTCAGCCTCCTGAGTAGCTGGGATTATAGGCACGTACCACCAAGTACAGTTAATTTTTGTATTTTCAGTAGAGATGGGGTTTCACCATATTGGCTAGGCTGGTCTTAAACTCCTGACCTCGTGATCTGCCCGCCTCAGCCTCCCAAAGTGCTGGGATTACAGGTGTGAACCACCACGCCTAGACCCCCGCCTTTTTTTTTTTTTTGAGATGGAGTCTTGCTCTGTCACCCAGACTGGAGTGCAGTGGCATGATTTTGGCTCACTGTAACCTCCGCCTCCTGGGTTCAAGCCATTCTCCTGCCTCAGCCTCCTGAGTAGCTGGGGTTACAGGTGCCCGCCACCACACCCAGCTAATTTTTGTATTTTTAATAGAGATGAGATTTCACCATGTTGGCCAGGCTCGTCTCAAACTTCTGACCTCAGGTGATCCACCCGCCTTGGCCTCCCAAAGTGTTGGGATTGCAAGTGCGAGCCACTGTGCCCGGCCATTTTCTTTCATAATTATAAAAGCATTATGTATTCATTACAGAAAAATCAAGTTAGCAAAAAGAAGAAACAAAAAACAATCCTACTCACTGGAAGTAACCACCATTAATACTTCACTGTGTGGCTTTCTAAAGTTTCTTATAAACATATATTTACAACATATGTTAATGAAATTGGGGTTATATCACACATACTGTTTTATAAGGTATTTTTAATACTTAATATGTTATGAATAACATTATATATCAAACATACTTCCATGGTACAGTTTTTCATAGCTACAGAGTTGGTGACAGTATTATTAAGATTTTCTCAACCTTCTGGAGTGATGAACTTTGCCTACCATTTCAGAGTTTTTTTTTTTTTTTTCCTGTAACAGAAAAATGTCTCCTTTTGTAACTGTGAATACTATCCAGGCATCACGGGCATTACCAGGGGACATGGTCATTTCTCTCTTTTTTCTTTAGCCAGACAGTAGAAGCTGGGGGAAAGGGCAGTATATCTGTGGCAAAGTTCCTGGTCACAAAATTTTGGCTACATTTATAAAATTCTAATTCCAGGTGAAAGGGGAATATAAACTTAATTTTTCTGAAAACTACAAAGAACAGAGACAGATGCCAATGAGTTGCAGGCATCATTGTGTAAACTGAGTGCAGAAATCATCTGGTAGCTGGGCAGGTGTCATTGGTCAGAGCATGGCAGGTTTTCCATGGCCAAAGCCACTGAAATTTTGACTGCTCAGGACTTCATTTTGGGGCTTCTGGGGCATAAAAGGCCTTGGTACAAAGAGCATGTTATCCTTTTCAACTATGGCACCCTTTTCAGATGTAAGATTCTGAGTTGACAGGAGCATGAGACTGATTGTATTAATTCTTGGATTTAGTCCTAAGTAACTTTTTCTCTACATAACAAGTCTGAATGGATGGCAAGGCAAGAGAGGAGTTGTTCTGTTTATTCCATCTCTACCTCTCCTTGAATTTCTTCCCCCCATCCCCACTTCATCAAATGGCTTTGTGTTTACATGATGTTTTTATTTTACTTATTTATTTATTTTGAGACAGAGTGTCACTCTGTCCCCCAGGCTGGAGTGCAATGACATGATCTTGGCTCACTGCAACCTCTGCCTCCCAGGTTCCAGCAATTCTCCTGCCTCAGCCTCCCGAGTAGCTGGGGATTACAGGCACCCACCATGATGCCTGGCTAATTTTTATATTTTTAGTGGAAACACGGTTTCACCATGTTGGCCAGGCTAGTCTTGAACTCCTGACCTTCAGTGATCCACCCACCTCGGCCTCCCAAAGTGCTGGGATTACAGGCCACTGGGCCCGGCCTACATGATATTTTTGATACCTCTATTTCTGTTTCCAAACACCACGATGTATTTCACTGCAGATATGAGGGACTCCAACTGGCATTAGAGGATATGTATTTAAAATCTGAGCCCACTTAGAAATTATAATAAAAATAACATCTACCACTTATTGTACATTAATTAATACTATTTTGGTGTTATTTATTTATTTATTTATTTTTGAGACCAGAGTCCTGCTCTAGGCTAGAGTGCAGTGGCGCAACATTGGCTCACTGCAGCCTCCGCCTCCCCGGTTCAAGCTATTCTCTTGTCTCAGCCTCCTGAGTAACTGAGATTACAGGCACACACCACCACACCCAGCTAATTTTTTTGTAGTTTTAGTAGAGATGGTGGTTTCGCCAGGTTGGCGAGGCTGGTCTCGAACTTCTGATCTCAGGTGATTTACCTGCCTCAGCGTCCCAAAGTGCTGGGATTACAGATGTGAGCCATCGCACCCAGCCTGGTTTTATTTATTTATAATTTCATTTAATTCTCAGAATAACCTCATTATTTATTACTTTTATTCCCACTTTATAGACGAGAAAACCAAGACTCAGAAAAGTTAGGTAACTTTCCAAAGTTCACACATGTAGGCAGTTGCAGAACCAGAATTCAAACCCAGTTCCATCTGACTCCAGAGTCGTTTCTGACACTGGTCTACTTTCTGTCTCAGTAAGTTTAGAAGTCAGGGAACTGGAAGGAACAACAACAAAATAAACCTGACTTAATGCCAAGATAATTGCTGACAAGATACATCTCATTCCTACTCCATGTTTAATGTCAATTTTTATATCTTGGGTAAGGGAGCCTATTATAAAGCTATTTGCTCAAGGTTATCCTCCTCCTACCCCGCCCCCATCATCAGATGATTTTTATTTATAGCTATGCTTAAACATCATGGGCAACAATCAGACTTGCTGTATATTGAATTTGCCATCTGAGCAAAGATTCTTTCTCAAAGCATATTTGCTTTATTTACTTTCTGGTGTTTGCCAATAAATTAAAAAGACAATTCTTTTTGGTTTGCTTTAAATTTTTTGTTCCAAATATTCTTCAGCTCTAGAATTTAGTCAGTGAGGTCAAATTAGTCAAGTCCAGATAAGTCAAACTTAATTTTTCTTTTCATGTCCATTAGATATTTTGAGTTCTACAGAATACACAAACATTCTGGATTTCTTCTAAAGAAAAATATATCCTGATTTAGTTCTGTATTGTTTACGATCATGTATGCTTTACTTCACTGTCTGATGCTAAGAGCTTCCTAGAATTCATTCCTTAAGGAGTTAAGTCATGGCATTTAATTATTTGGCAGGGTGTTTTAAGTACATATAATTATTATATCTTCCCTCCATTTTGTGATGGTGGTGAGCCAAGTAATCTGCATCAAGAGAAAATAAATAACACCTACATTAATGCTACCAACAAGGAGCTCACAGTACTTTGGAAAAACTCATTATAATTTTAGCACATAGTGCGTGTTCAATACTTCATCATCTACCAAACTAACATCACCACACCTTTTCCAGGTAAGAGAATCTAGGCAGGCCAAGTGTGGTGGCTCACGCCTGTAATCCCAGCACTTTGGGAGGCTGAGGCAGGTGGATCACCTGAGGTCAGGAGTTTGAGAACAGCCTGGCCAACAGGGTGAAACCCTGTCTCTACTAAAAACACAAAAATTAGCCAGGCATGGTGGCGGGTTCCTGTAATCCCAGCTACTTGGGAGGCTGAGGCAGGAGATTTGCTTGAACCCTGGAGGTAGAGGTTGCAGTGAGCCGAGATTGTGCCACTGCACTCCAGCCTGGGCGACAGAGTGAGACTCCGGCAAAAAACAAAACAAAACAAAAAACAGACAATCTAGGCAAAGAGAAATTATGTTGATTCTGTTCCTTAAGTCAGACCTTGGAAGGTCAACTGCATGACTGTGACTGAGACTTTGTACTTGGGAGTAAGCAGTTTTAAATCCTGACCAATATCTCGGGCAAGTCCCTTCTCTTTTCTGAGTGCCCGTCTGCTTCTTGCCCTATTAGACATTTCTCACATAGGTTCATGGCAATGGTAAAGAATAAGATTAGACAGCACACTGGGTATGGCTTTATAATCACGGGCATTAAGTGATGATTTTTTTTTCCTTATTCATTCCACTTGGTCTTAACTCTTCCCTTCTATTGTTTGGGGATGTTAACTGCAAAGCAGGGACAGAATTTGGGCTAAAGTGTCTTTTTCCCAATCTGGTAAATTAAGTATGTGGTAAGACTTCTGGAAGAGTAGATCTGAGGTACTTTCTTTTGTGCACACTAATAGGAGGTGTGAAGGGAAAGCAGAATTGCAATTTCCAGCCTAGGGAGGCCAAGCCAGTCGGCCTCGCCAAACAGGTTGTCTTGGATAAAGAAGGATTTTCAGTCCTGCTATTGGCTGATGGGACCTCCAGTGCCTTCTTCAGCCTGTTGGTGGGGATGACGCCCTCAGAGTGGCAGATTGAGCACTCTCCTCCCAAGCATCGCTGAGCACTTGGGTGTGGAAGGGTTGCCTGATACTGAGGGTGGGGCGCCTGGAAGATAGGCGATCAGGTTCAGCTCTTGCCTTGCCCTTTATGGTTAAATGTTCTTTGGAAAGCTTCTATATCTCTCAAATCCTGGGGGCATTATGATCTTTCTTCTGCCTATCCTAAACCATCTTCAGCCAGTACTGTTGGGAGAATACAAGCTCCAGGGCAGGGTCCCTGGTCCGTCTGGATGACCCCTCTGGTTCTGGCACATAGCTGGCGTTCTATGGAACCAGGTATTTATCTAAAAACAGGGACAGTGGAATGTGAAAACGTTTTGCAAACTCCAAAGCGATTCATAACCAGACAGAGGTCCAATCCTAGGGTATACGAGCTCTCTTTTAAGCACGGATCACAGCTGCTTCTAACGCCACCGAGACGCGGTCAGGACAGGTGCATCCATCTTCTCTGGGCTTCCCCTCTTAAAAGTAGGCCAGGGCGCGCAGCGGTTGAGGGTTTCTCATTCCCAGGGGGGAATCAAACTTGGAGGAAAGCAACCACGGGCGAGGAGCTGGGCGCGTGGAAGCGAGCCGCGGTCGGAGGCTCAAAGCCCAAACCTCGCCCCCGCCATCGCGCCGGACGAGACACCTAAGTCCGGGGACAGGTATGTGCCGGAGAAGTCAGGTGCACTGCACGGCACTCCCCCGGTAGGTACACGCTCCTCCACCTACGAGTGACCTAATTACAAGGTGCCAGCCGCGCCCAGAGGTGGAGGTGGTTAATCCAAGCGGTCACTCGCTGCCCGTTCCTGCCCCCAAAGATGAGGGAAACCCATACGTTTACAGCGCCGCTGCGCCCCGGATGAGCCATGGGGTCGCAATTCTCGTTTCCGTGATCGGGCTGCCAGGTCCCAGGTGAGGAGCTGAGTTCATCACCAGAGCAGCCTTCCCATGGGAACCAGTTCCAGGCCGCCAGTAGCCCCGGTTTCCACCCGGTCTGCGCCTGCGCGCGGTCCAAGTCCTCTCCTCTCAGGGTTTAGCGCTAAGGGATTAGTCCAGTTCGCCGCTGTGCGCACTGCGCATGCTCCAGCTCCATCCTTCCCTTCCCCCACCACCCCGCCCTCCGGGAGCCACGCCCAAAAAGTCAAGGCGCCTCAGTTACCAACCGGCTACGTCGCGCCTGCGCTTTGACCCCCAGTTTGCGCCCCAACTCCGGTCGTGCGGCCGCCCGGGGTGGGCTCTGCAGTTGCGCAGCTTGCTCCCCGGCCCTTTTCCCCTCCGCTCCCCGCCGCCTCCTGACGCCGGGCGTGACGTCACCACGCCCGGCGGCCGCCATTACAGAGAGCCGAGCTCCGGAGCCTCAGCGAGCGGAGGAGGAGGCGCAGCGGCCGACGGCCGAGTACTGCGGTGAGAGCCAGCGGGCCAGCGCCAGCCTCAAAAGCCGCCAGAAGTACAGGAGGAACCGGCGGCGGCGTGTGCGTGTAGCCCGTGTGCGGGCGGCGGCGCGGGAGCAGCGCGGAGCGGCAGCCGGCTGGGGCGGGTGGCATCATGGACGAGAAGGTGTTCACCAAGGAGCTGGACCAGTGGATCGAGCAGCTGAACGAGTGCAAGCAGCTGTCCGAGTCCCAGGTCAAGAGCCTCTGCGAGAAGGTGAGCTGTACTACGGCTGCGGACAGCTGCCGCGGGGCCAAGCCCGCCAAGGAAAAGGCGGCCGTGAGGAGGGTGCAACATGGCGGAGGCCTCCGGCCCGGGTCCCCCGAGCTTCCGAGACCGGCGCCCATCCCGGCCGGCGGCGGCTTCCGAGCGACCCGGCGCCCCCTGCCTCCCGCGCAGGGATTGGTTGTCGCCGCCACCGCCGCCTAAAATGGCGCCGTTCACCCGACTCCTGGGTTTTTGAGTCTCCCGGCCTTGGCGCCAGACGAGGTGGCAGGGGGAGCGGAGACCCTGTGGGTCAGCGTCGTGGACGGTTTTGAGGGTGAGCTGGCTTGGATTCTGCGGCTTGGGAATGGAGCCTGGGCCTCTACGGTGGGCTGAGTAAGAGTCTTTCCGCTTGTACCCAGGCCTAGTTAGGTCCAAAGCTGCCCAGAGGATCCCCACAGGCAGTCTTGTTAGACCATATCCCAGAACATATCTAAAGGTCACACAACTTTAGTATCCCTTGGTGGCTTGTATTAAACTCACTAAGCGATCTTCTCCAGAAACCAAGGTAAGGGGTGTCTTTAAGAATTTAAAAATTACTCTCTTAACCTAATTTCTACGAAGGTCATGGTGGTAGGTATAAGATAGGAGTTTAACTTATTTTTCATAGTTGGAAGAAATCGGGAATTTGGTGAGTCATACTACATAAGGAGCTTTTGGATTGGAAATCAAGTGTCACTTGAATCTATCATTTATATGCTGACTCAAAGCCTTCTCTAAGCTTAACACACTTGGCATTTTGCCATTTATTTTTAAAATGAACAACATAAAATGGAAGAGCGGTAAATTTTGTATCTTTGTTGCAAAAGTTACTTCATAGTATTTTGTGACTGCTGGTAGTAGTAGTAATAACTGTCGACTGAGATTGTATTCCAGACATTGTGCTTAGTGTTTAAATAATGTCTCACACTGAAAATAGAATGTTGTAGTCCACTTAACCCTAAACTTTATATTAGCTAATTCCGTTTTGTTTTCCCCTAGGGATTGGGGAAACAGGTAGCTAATTTAGCTATTAGCTGTGTGTTGTATTTTTAAATTCTTGTAACTCAGTTTTCTAAAGTACACAAAATGCTGAGCTCTGCTGTGAACATTTTAGTTTCCCTTTTCAAAATTAACTTTGCAGCATGTCGCTTTAGTACGGAATGGTGGAGTATCATATTAGCATGTTGTATTCGTGAAAAGAATCAATGGAAAACTATTACCCTGATCTGTTTGTGGTTTGATGTGAAAATTAGGTTCATGAGTTTGATGTATATGTTTTCAAGACAGGCTTTTTTAGAAGCCATGTTGTGAACAATTGGAATTTAAGTAAGTCAAATTTAGATTTATTTCTCCCAAGCCTGAACAGAACTACTACTAGTGGATGAGGTGGTACATCATTTGTTGGAGATGGCTTTTAATGGTAGCGATGTATTAAATCTCCTGTTTCTTTACTCTCTCACATCAAATGAGGTTGGTGTTTATTTTGAAGGTTTAAAATTGGCCTTTCAAAATGAATGTATATTGCCAGGTCTTAATTTCTAGGTACTATACATATACCGATTTTTGGAACTCAGTGCATTATATGACTTTTAAGTCAATAGTTGGCCAGTTGACTAGTCTTTTGAAGAAAACATGGAAAGGAGGGAGGTAATGACGTAAACATGGAAAGGGGGGAGGTAATGACGTAACTGAAAGACTGGACTGCGAGTTAGATTTGGACATGAATCCTTCCGCTCCTACTTGAGTAATTGGGACAGACTTTGGGACAACCACTTAACTTGGTCCTTGTTTTCCTGTCTATAAATTAAAATGTGTTCTGAGATTATACAGTCAATTCCGTTTTAAATTAGTGTGTTTAATATTGAACACCTATTGAATATCCAAGATTGCATACTCTTTTGAGGGAAATGAAAAGCAATGAAGAATAAGTATGCTTATTGTCAAGGAGTTATAAATCTAGTTGGAAAGAAAAGCATGGTATGAAAAGGTGTGGGAGATGGAGCGTGGAAGTAGAGGGTTTGTGCTGGAAACTGTTGTAGAAGATAAGATATATCATACTGGATGCTAAAGTGGGGTGAGTGAAGCTAGTGCATCTAATATTGCTTTCCACATCTTTGTAAAACTAAGATGTAGTGAGGTAAATCTCCATTGCTTGCTCTGCTTACGCAAATTTTAGTTCTGAGTGCCAAAAAAGATGGAAATAATATTTGAGAGTAGGTGTTTTATATAAAAGTTTCCATGGAATGGATCCGTTTTGGTGGATGTCATTACACAACCTTAATACTGTTTATAACTGGTATTTCAACTTTGAGGATGATATTAAACTTCCAAACTAATTTGAAGACAGTTTTTTTGAGTATGTGGAATCCATGAACTGATATTTTTTGTACAAGTCTTTCTAATAAAACAAAAGCTGTCTTTCACTGTTAATGTTTGTGTGCCCATGGCATCTGTGGGTGAAAGCTACGTATGTGCTCTTTGGTGTGATTGCTTTCTAAAGAGTAATTTTGAAAATTTGAGGGCTAATTTTTTTCATTAGTATATAATAATAGTATTTTTTTTTTTGAGAAAAAAGATACTTGTTTGATAATAGTTGATAATTTTTTCAATCATAAGAAGGAATGATAATGTAAAAGCCTTCCTTCTACCCACCTAAAGATGCCTGATTTGAAGGGGAAATATTTAAATAGTAAAGCTGTATACCATAAGAGGTCATTGTTATTAAAAAATCCTGAGGCCATTATTTTGTTATCCCATCGACAATTAACAGTGTTATGTGTTCAAAACTGAGAAAATCTAAGTATGCATTTATAGACAAGGGTGAACATGGTTTTTAAATTACTGACTAGCTAAAAAGAATTTTAAGATGTGATTAAGGTTTATATAAAAGCCAAGGTTGTAGTGTATCGTATATTTTGTCATATTGAGGATCATAATTTGTTGATAGTTTAATAATTTGGTGTGCAGTTTTGTCTCAGGCTCAGTTCTATAGTCAGCATTATATCAGTATGACTGGCCTGGTATGTTTCAATCTACAGATTGAAAGGACTGAATAGTATCAACTTGTTTTTGCATTGACTACAGTAAACTTTTATCATGTGACTTCAGCTTTGGTTTAGTGTGGGTATGATTCTTGGCTTTGTGCTTAACAAACATGTGGAGAACGTTGTTTGATAGCCAGACTTTTTTTTTTTCCAAAGAAGTTCTTTACCTAGGTATGCTGTTTTCCATTGCTCTGCAAGCACTATAAATAAAGTGCAGTCATTAGTCATTAAAATGTTAGTTTTAACATTTGTTACGTGAGTATGGAAATAACAAACTGCTTGCTTCTAATTAGATGAGCTGAAAAATATTTGACCAAGATGACATTCTTATATGAAGTGGGTAATATATTGGTGTATGTGTGTACATTTCATTTTAAAGGCTGTTTGGCTCATTTACCTAGAAGTGATTTTAATGTTGAGGACAAACAGGTGAGGGAATCTTGTTACAGAACATTATTTTTATCATACTTTTATAAGATAGTTATTGTTCTCAGTTTGAGATACAAACCAAAGACTCAGAAAGGTAAAGTGACTCGACTAAAGGGGCTAAAAGTGAGATTGCCAAGGCTTGTGGATTCTAAGCCTGATGTTCTCGTATTGCTTCACAGATCCCCTTCTCTTTTCAGAGGTACTGTTAATAGTGAAAGATGTAGGTGAATTGGGGCCAAGCTAAATTGGGAAGTCAACACTTTCGTAAAATGAAACTTTTTTTTTTTTTTTTCGAGACAAGATCTTACTCTGTCGCCCAGTCTGGAGTACAGTGGTGCAATCTTGGCTCACTGCAACCTCCACCTCCCAGGTTCAAGGAGTTCTCTTGCCTCAGCCTCCCTAGTAGCTGGAATTACAGGCACCCGCCACTGTGCCCAGCTGTTTTGTATTTTTAGTAGAGATGGGATTTCACCACGTTGGCCAGGATAGTCTCGAACTCCTGACCTTCAGTGATCACCTGCCTCAGCCTCCCAAAGGGCTGGGATTACAGGATTGAGCCAGCACTCCCGGCCAAAACATTATTCAAAACATTATTTTTATTTTCATTGCTTGAAAGTTTCCTGTTCATGTTACGTACTGTTGTCCCACTTTGTCCTGGAAAGAGTAATTATTATTCAGTTTTGGATGTAGCTGACAACATTTGCCCCTCAAATAAGATTGGTGAGATGAAAACCCTAGATAATTTCTCTTGTATTCACAGTATAAATCATGATCCAGAGACTGAGCTCTAAACTATTCTAATAAAGTATAACCGACTTTTTATATTGTTCATTGCAGCTGAAAAATGCCTCTTTTCAGCAGGGCGAGGTGGCTCACATGCCTGTAATCCCAGCACTGTGGGAGGCTGAGGCAGGTGGATCACGAGGTCAGACAGAGACCAATCCTGGCTAACACGGTGAAACCCCATCTCTACTTAAAAATACAAAAAATTAGCCGGGCGTGGTGGCACGCAACTGTAGTCCCAGCTACTCGGGAGGCTGAGGCAGGAGAATTGCTTGAACCCGGAGTCAGAGGTTGCAGTGAGCCAAGATTGCGCCACTGCACTCCAGCCTGGGTGACAGAGGGAGACCCCCCCCACACACACACATGCAAAAGCCTCTTTTCATCCTCTTAGCTTCCACAGTCAAATGTCATGCATGTGTGTATTTGTTTCATGGTCTCCTAGGCAGGAAGCTGTAATGCATCTAGTTTGGAGTTGACTTCATGAGGAAACAGAAAAGGTGAACATTCCCACTATTCAGAAACAGGTTCCCCAACCCTCCCTGCGTTCTCCATTGGGGCCAGAATTGTATGTTTTCACAAAATTGGCAGTAAGGCTAAGTTGAAGCTTGTGTACTGTAGAAAGAATGAAGGACCCTTCAGGAGTATGTGGGATAACATTTGTATTACTAGTCTGGTGTGGCCCTGTTTTATGGCAGCAAATATGTTCCCTATCTC